GAGAGAGAGCGAGCGAGAGACAGAGCGAGAGAGAAAGAGCGAGAGAGAGCGAGAGAGAGAAAGAGCAAGCGAGAGAGAGAGCGAGAGAAAGAGAGAGCGAGAGAGAAATCAGGGAGGCAAATGCAAATTTGGGTGAGGAAATTTAAAAAATGAGGAATGGGGAGGGACAAAAAATAAAGTACAGGTCAGTACACTGGAACAATGCAGTAGTTTGGTCAGAGATAATGGATCAATGTTGTCTTTGGAGAAAATAGAGCAAAGTTTAAAAGAAACAAAACTGCTTTCATCCTAGACAAGCATGGGGTAAAGGTACATTCATCTCAAATCATAATAAATCATTAATATTCAAACTCATTCACAACAATGGGACAAATAGATCATGCAGCAGCTGGGAGGAAACTGAACGTCTGTCAGCGATGAGTTGACAGGGAGATTAGACAGCATGCAGTATAAAAGGCAACAAAATCTTGCATGCAAGAGTTGATGTGAAGGCCACTTCAGTATCACATGGCATTCACACAAATCCACAAAGCTAAAAAAAGCATGAGCACAGTATCTTAACATCAGGGCTTTAAGTGGTGCAGATACTGTCCAAAGGCAGAATAACAACCGTTCAGAGATGAGCAGAGCAGACGAGTCAGATGCCAAATCAGTTTAAACACACAAACCAAAAACAGAAGAAAAGGGATAAAAGCAGCAGGTGTTTGTTCCCAGGGCTTAGACACAGTTAGGAGACCACAGAATGATTTCATATGAGCTTTCATATGAGCTGAGGAGAGGTGAGGAGAGCTTAGAGAGAAAAAGAGAAGACAGACAGTTAGCAGAGTTAGATGCAGTTTGACAAGAGAAGGGGAGGCTTGATTATCAGGAAAGAGGGGAGAGGGTTCGGGGGCCTATGAAATAAATCCCGCAGTCACCAAGTGGACCAAAAAAGGAAAAACAGGGGGGAGAATAAGTTCTTGCTTTTAAGAACAACACAAAATTACAGTAAAGAAATGTTCATAGGGAAAGTGTTTGATAAAACTAGACCTACAACAGGAGCCCAGATGTAGAACATCCACTGCTCCACACAGCTCAGTGATTACAATGAAAATGATGTCTACACACGCTGGTTAGGAGGTGACACATACAGGCTGTCTGAATGTGAACAAATATCATACAATCAAATGGACCTTTGGGAAACTACAGCTTACATAAAGGAAGCCTTGTTTTTCCTGCAGTTCTAAGACTACAAAGTTCATGAAAACTGTGTGTTCAGTCTGTGTCTCAGCGCAGATCACACAAAAGCAACGTAAACTAAATGATCAAGATTAACAGATTCACGTGTCAAACATGAGCTTTTTATACACATCGTTAATGACAAGAAAACAAATCTGGAAATAGAGAAACTGACCCACAGCGAGCAACAGAAAAACAGGAACAGATGAATGGAGGTGGTGTGTAGGAGCGGTGGAGCTTTAATTGTAGACTTTCCATTTTACTGGTGTTACTGGTGTCAGTATTACTAACCTCTTCGTTGAGGTTGCTAACCAGCAGGACCCCACTGGAGCCTGTCTGCCCAGCGAGGGCCACCCTCCCCGCTGCAGCGGCAGCAGCTGCCGCCGCACTCAGAGGGTTCAGGGCTCCTGACGGGAAGCAGACGGACAATCACGGAGTGGAAAATCATTTTCTTACAGCAGTTGAAACGATAACGATGTTGATGATGGTGACAATACATCATGGCAAGAACACAGTACAACCTTCTCAGTGGATACAAGTATCAAAATTGGCACTTAGCATCAAACCCTGCATGTCTGACCACACAAAACTGTTTCTTTGTAGCATACACAAAGACCTTTTCTACTGTTTGATACACTGGATGCACTTCATCACTGTAACAACCGCAGTAATGCAGCCCAGACACACTGGGTTGTGTTTCTCTTCCTCCTGGGTATCTATCACATGTGAGGTGAACGGTGTTACCCTCTGAAAATAATCTCAAAATAAGAATGTGGACATGTAGTTGTAGCAATAGTAGTTGTTGTTTCACCGGTGGCGTTTAGCAGCTGTGATTTCACACCAATAACCAGGGACACAGTTCAGCTTTGGATCAGACTGAGGGCAGATCAGACTGTTGTTCTACATTAGACCCTGACACGAGACAGAGGTTATATTGAATAGAACAACTTACTTATATAGCGTTACAAACATTACCGACGGTGGTTAACGTTCTATTTTGAGTTTCCTTTACGGTAATTCAACACACACTCACAACTTGACCCATGACACCTTGATGACTCCCATGATGACAGGGTGGGTCAACAACTCTCAGGACTACCTCCTCGGTGAAAACTCCACTACGCCATTTATTCTCTTTTGCTTATCCTCATCATGACCGCCGAGGAGGAGGAGTCTATCCCAGTTACCACAGGGCGAAAGGAAGGGTACACCTTCCACAGGTCACCGGGGTGTGTCGCAGAGCTAACACAGAGAACCATACAACCGGTAATCTGGCAGAACGGGCCGATGGACCGGCCTGAGGAGCTGTTGCACCAGCTGTACGAACACTGACAGCAGCCCAGTCTTTCATTTTCATTACTGACACTGTACTACCCAATCAAATCTCTTAATGCGATCAGCCCCTCCCCAACCTTCATTGTGACCTCACACAGCTGGTACAAGAAGTTTATTATGGAAAAATCGAGCTGGAGCTAAAATGGTGAGAGAAAACAATAAACATTCAGCAAAATGTGTCAAATTAACTGACGTGTTAGCTGTCAGGGCTGCCGCACCATGAACAGTAATACCAGCAACAACCAGGCCTCAGAGCCACAGGAGGCTGCTGCTGCTAGCTCCAGCTGTGGAGAAGTGAGGAAGAGACCATATGTAGATGGTGTGATAAGCTATGTACATTAGACTATACGGCAAGATTTAAGAAAGGGCACTAACTCACGTACACACGAAGAAACTTCATCAATTGGTTTAAGGCTAAATAAGGGAACCGAGTCAGTCAGTGGTACCAAGTCTCATGTTGTGGTGGTGACGGTCCAAGAAATGTGACTGGTGAAACCAAGCTTTTACCTACTGCAGAAACTGTCAGAAGCTGACACCATGTGGATGCAAACCTGAATCTGTGTCTTACCTGCACAGAAATGTGCATGTGCACTATTTGAGACCAGACACATTTATGCAATTATACAGATTTGGGGGTTTAAATTACCCTTTAAGACCTAC